TGATAAACATAATAGGAAATTATTTAGAATCATCTGATTAAAAGTGACATAAGAGTTTAGTCTACTGACTTGCATAAGTTCACAAGCAGGTTTTCCACATCCAATATGGCGGGCCCACCGAACTATAACCACCATATATATATATATATATATATATATATATATGATAAACATAATAGGAAATTATTTAGAATCATCTGATTAAAAGTGACATAAGAGTTTAGTCTACTGACTTGCATAAGTTCACAAGCAGGTTTTCCACATCCAATATGGCGGACACACTGACATATAGCCACTATGGTGTTTCCTGTGACCAGCATGGCTTCTCCTGCACGGCTGCTGTGTGACGTCATTATCCCCTCTACACTTGTGGTGTTGTCACCATGACGACAGTTGGTGCGTGCGTGCGTCTGTGTGTGTGAATGAAAATGAGTTGAAGTGCATTAAGTCGAGGTTTTTCTTGGGGCAAGTTGCAGCTGATGATTTTGTGTCTTGATGGACTGTTTGTGTACCCGGAGAACAAGACAGCATTCGGAGGATCCCTGTAAAAGTACGAAATCGACCACAATGCTTAGTTGGCATTGTTTGTATTAAAAAAATACATTTGAGTCATTCTTTCCTTTTGGATCAAGAAGAAGGAGACGTATTATGATATATTTTTTCCAGTTTTAGTTTAGTGACATAGTGGTAATACCCCAACTCCCCTGAAGAGGGCGCTCATGTCACTAATGTCCCACATACGCAAAATCAACATACTGTTTTTTATTTTTATTGGTCTTTTTTTGGGGGGGTGGGTCAAATCAAATCAGCAATCAAAATACAAAGTTTACATAAAAACCAAAGAACAAAAGGTGTCGAAGCTTATCCTGTCTCCCATCTCAAAATGTCTACCCTACAATCTAAAACTAGCAGACTACCAACATTTCGTGCAACCAAATATCGCCCCATATATATATATTATTTTTTTTTCGACATATATTTTATAGATGGATACATGTTTACACAACTTAATAGACATAATTTCATCCATAATTTTGCTAAGGTCTATAGATGGATACATGTTTACACAACTTAATAGACACATAATTTCATCCATAATTTTGCTAAAGTTATTTAACTATAGTATCTTTTTATAACTGCAGTATACAGTAATCCCTTGCTATAACACGGTTCATCTTTCGCGGATTTTTTTCGTGCAATTTATTTCTTATGTATTTATATATTTATTTATTTATGGGGCCAGTGCATTTTGTTCTGCATCCTGATTGGCAAAGTGACTGTAGACTAAACAGTTTCCGCGCCGCATCACTGTAGAGCGTATGTCCTGTACAGTATTTCTAAATACAGTACTATACTGGTAGTAAATTGTTTTTAAGAAAGCATTGATTATTTATTTATTTTAATGCTTGGGCCTGAAAAAACGGTTTAGTCGTTGGTGTACAATACTGTATACGTAATAATTGTAAAAAAAATAATATAAAGATGATTACTTCAAAGATTTCACTTATCACGGGTTCTTTTTTGGAATGTAACCCCCGCGATAAACAAGGGATTACTTTCAATGTGTTTTTGGACATGTATTGAAATAATTTGAATGACACCTTTTCAATTCATAGTCAAAGTTATCCCAAAAGTTGACTCCTTTTACCGACCTACATCTCTGTTTGCCATTAATTCTGTTTGTTTTTTTTCCTAAACAAATCTTCCTCTCAGTTCATTAAAACTAATTGTGTGTTTCAGGGACAGCGGTTACCACAGTAGACAGCTTATCAGGTTACAGGGTGCTTGAAAGGGGTAAGGGAGCATATTGTTATTTACTTTGAACATGAACTGGGCAGTTTTAAAGTCCACCAGACCGTATAATTTAAGGATATATGATTTTACGAATAGATTGATGGGTGCACGATAATCTGAAATGTTTATTCTCCACATTGCCCTCTTTTGTAGCATAAGAACGGCATTTGTTATTGTTTGTGTTCCCAGACCGCTACAAGTTAACTCGTGTATGGGACAAAGAATCAACTGAATAACAGCTGTAGGGAATGCTGCTTCAGAATGTCTTTTTATTTGATGTAATATTCCTATGGCTTTGGCTAATTTTGTGTTGACATAATTTACATGCGACTTCCACGGTACGACACATACGCACATCTTGATGTCATGTCGTTGATGAACTAAAGTATCCCCGAAGTATGCCACGTGTTTTGTTTACTAATGATGACGGAGGAATGATATGTATTAAAAACAGGACTTGTATCAACCTGTGCTACTCGGTCAATAAAGTGTCAGTGTGGTGATGTCATGGGTCCAACCAGACCCGACACGTTGGCTTATTGTTTACGAAAAAGAAAAAGTCAGCCGTCGATCAAGAAGGTCAAAGGCTTCGACAACCGGAAGAAATCAAAACGCAGCAATCATTCCAACCAAATAACGCGACATTCAAATCACGCTGTCATCAAGTAACACCGCAATCATCACGCAAACATCAAATAACACGAGAATGGTCACATTGAACGCAACGAATAATACGCCGATCAAAACAGTCAACGACTATAATGAGAGAAATCTCAGCTAAGATTAGCATGGAGTTAGCAGGATTGAAATGTTTTTCTTTTCTCGACTGCAACAACTGGCGTTGCCACATTGTTCAAGTCTGCAGCTGTCAGAAAAAGCGGACTCGCACAACCAGTTGCCATGTAAATAAAATGCCGCTTCTCGTTCAGACCGGAAGTGGCACATATAATTCAAAGCACAGGGTCGTAGGTGGATGGCTGAAGGCTCATTGAAAGCTTCATCAGCAGGTTCATATTTAAAATGACTTTGTTAGCATGGCAGCTAACAGCATTAGCACGAAAAAAGATTCAGGCGGAAATACTTGCAGTGGCTTTCACATTCTGGCAAACTTTAAATAAGCAATTGAAATTCATATTCCAGGCTCGGGATTTCATAGTGAGACAAATTCAACCCAAAAAGTGAGGGGAAAAGCAAAAAAACCCCCAAAAAAACAGGTTGGCTGTCATCTCATGTCCCATGTAAATCCGCTTCAATTCCGAGCGGCGACTCCCAGTTCCACATACGCATCTGCGCTCTGCGCTGACGCTCCTTTCTCCTCATCGTCGGCTCCACAAATGGTTCCAATTTTGGTATTTGCTCGTTGTGTTTTTTTGTTTGCTTTTATTTTTTTCCCCCCGACATTTTTAATGAACCTTTGGTGTGAACATACTTGAAAATCTGCAAATAATAGTATGTTAGTATACAGTACAAGAACATCAACATTTTTCAAGGTGTATTATTTTATTAGGAAAAAACAAATACCGTAACCAAACCCCCAATAAAACAAAGACAAGACGAATCAAAGAAAGAAAAAAATAACCCACAAATTTCTTTCATTCAAGATCTGTTCGTGATAACGCACCAAGGCATTGCAGCATACAAATACTTTTTGTGTAGCGATTACATTCTACAAGAAATATTTGACAATTTGGAAGAGATTTTGAAATCCTAATTTTGTGTCAGTAAAATTTGCCAGTTAACAGCCTAAGATTGATCACAAAGAACACTGGAAAGATATTATGTACAGAACTCGTCATTAGACCAATTGCAAAGGTATCTCCAGTTTTTCCACACATATATTTTTCAAAATCCATCCAAAATTTTGATGACATGGTCCAAATACAAAATAAATGTGGAAATGTCTCTGACTCACTTCTCCCAAAGATTAATTTATCATCGATTTGTTGTCAGTCATGCGTTCGTTCACAAATCAACCTTTGGTGACGTCACAACCGGCGTGAGGTTTCCCCCCCCCCCACACCAATGCGGTGAGCGCGCACGCACACTCACGCACCAGACGCGACGGGACTCACGCAAACACACAGATACATAGGTAAGTCAATGAACGTTCTTACATTCAACTATTTCCACTCTCGACCAGTTAGCTTGTTGCTAAAAATGTTGATGACGTACAGTGCGTGCGTGCGTGGAGCGAACCGCTCACGTGTGAATGCATTTTAAGTGCACTTAAGGACGCCCTGTTTGTTGTCAGTGTGGGTTGGTGACAGGTGTCGTTAAAAGAATGTCTTAGTCGCGCCTTGGGCAACTTTGAAACATTTGAAGTTTGTTTGCGTTCCCTCCGCTTACAAATACTGAGTATTTCCCCCCGAGGACGTTGCGCCGTCAACGTCACGTGACGCGGGGCCCCCGCCGGCCTTGGTTGGGAAAATGAGGCTTGAAAATTGTGACAATCGAAGCTGTTTTTTCTGCTCTGAAATGCTTTGGGCTTGACTGCTAAATGTGCCGAAATCACGCTACGTCAGCTGTAATCAAAGCCTCGGGTGGCTTGTAAGTATCCCACGGAGTAATCGTCAGGTTTTTCCATGCTGTGACAACGAGGCGCTCCAAAGCAGCCAAGCCAGCGTGGAGCCTCTGTCCACGCACTGGCTATCACGGGCCGGTCCAGAGAGGACGCAGGACAAAGTCTGCAGCCACCGCAGAAACTTTTGTCAACGGCACCAATGGAAACTATATGGAGGAAATGTACCAGGCGTGGCTGCAGGAGCCCGCCAGTGTACACAAGGTACACAAACTTCGTCACGTTCCGTTGGGACTTAGCCGACTTACTCCCACTCTAATGCCACCGCTGACACAATCTTGTAACTTCTCGCAGCAGACAAATATTGACATTTATTCATGATGAATTCCTGAAATCTTCAACAACAACAAAAAAAAAAACACAACAAAATTGCAGTTGATATATTTCCACTCCAGTCCTGCAGGTGGCAGTGATGTGCATTGGCATTACTGTATAACACATCAGCCTCTTTGGTCAACTCTTTTCCACAATTATAAATGTATACATTTTTTATTTTTCTGTTTTATTTTGGCCCTTGTAACATGGTTTGTGCATCCACCTCACAGACAACCATCTCATGCCCCCCCCCCCACCTTTTTTTGGTTCATCCACCTCAGAGACAACCGTCTTATGCCCCCCCCCCCCAGTAGACAATCATGAATGGAAGCCTTGTAAACATCAGCCCTTTGAAACTGATAAGAGCACCCTCTGCCTTGTCTTGTTAGACAATAAAACACTCTCCTATGGAAAACAAGAAGATAGCATGGTCTTTGTAAAGTGGAAAAAAATATCTTGTAAATCTGACACACAATAGAAAAAGGTGTTATTAACAACCCTGCCAAGTTTGATTGATTAAAATTGACAGGTCTATAAAATGAGGCTTGAAAATTGTGACAATCGAAGCTGTTTTTTCTGCTCTGAAATGCTTTGGGCTTGACTGCTAAATGTGCCGAAATCACGCTACGTCAGCTGTAATCAAAGCCTCGGGTGGCTTGTAAGTATCCCACGGAGTCATCGTCAGGTTTTTCCATGCCGTGACAACGAGGCGCTCTAAAGCAGCCAAGCCAGCATAGAGCCTCTGTCCACGCACTGGCTATCACGTTGGACATCAAAAGAAAAATGTTTAAAAATCACCGCTTCTTAGCATTCCGCCTTGACATGCGCACACTCACTACCGACAATGAGGCGCTCTAAAGCAATTCTCTGAAGGCCCTCGGGATTATAAATCTTCTGGAAAATTGCAAAAATTGATTTTTTTTTCATAAAAGTATATGAAAGCCTGTCCTTTGCCTCCGTGCAGTCGTGGGATGTTTTTTTCCGTAACGCGCACGCCAGCCACCAAAGCCCACCGCCTCTTCGAGGGACCCTTCCGCTGAGCACCGAGCCCGACGTGGAGAAGTTGGTGCGGGATCATCTGACGGTCCACACGCTCATACGCACCTACCAGGTACCCTGTGCCCGATTTCCTGGCTGTATTTAGCCATAGCTTGGACAGTGACTTTTAAGTGTTCATCACAATGTGTCGTTGATGTTGTTGCAGCTGCGAGGCCATCACATTGCCAAGTTGGACCCTCTTGAAATCAGCTGCGTGGACCTGGATGATTCCCCCTGTAGCATCGGCTCCCAGAAAGTGGGTGAGGGAACTTTTTTCTTGTTTTTATTGCATTCATCCGTTTTTGGCAACCCACCGCTTGTCCTGTAATGATATTATATTTTATACTTGTAGTTTCATCTATCCATTTTCATAGTTTCTTCTTTACATCATTGAATTGAAGTGAATAAAACCTTTTATTGGTCCACTTTTCATCGTGCGACAGCACATCATGTTCTCCATCCATTTGCATTTTTATCTGCCGCTAGCCTGCGAACCAAACTGCAATTCTTGCGAATGAAATATAAACATGCTCTGAGCTATTTCCCGTACTATGACGTCGTTCCGCAGCCATTAGCTTTCCTATTAGCTAGCCTACAAATAAATTTTTAGCCCATGGAGCTAATCAGTGCCTGTTTTGTTTGCAGTCACTTAATATAATGCTGTTAAGGCAAGGCAGCCAAAATTAGCGGGAAGCTAGTGGGTTGAGCTAATCTACTGGAAATGTAATATTACATTTTTGGATGTGTGATTCCCTCACTCCTTCCAGTGTTGGGGGCAAATTGTGCATTTGTGCGCCCCCATAGACACAAAGCGCTTCGCGGCACTAAAGGCGGGGCCCCCCTTTGCTCCGCTAACAATAACAACACAATAATGCGATTCACGCGGAATGTTAACCAGGTGTCCCTGGGACAGGTAACAATTGACTTTCCACACCAGTTTTAGAAAGTACGAAAGAGTTGACATGTTTGAAGTCATTAGCGTGCTAGCCACCTGACTGTGGTCTGAACACCACGTCTTGACTTGTGTCTGATTTCAGTAATTACTTTTAGGAACTGGGACTTGCTTGGCGAAAACTTCGGAAAGACTCGACATGTCTTACACTTGAACTATATGACTCAAGTCCTGTTTAAATGTGAGGTGGGGGGTGGGGGGGATCAACTTGATTTGAATTTTAATGGCGACTCTTGGCTTTTTACTTCGACACTTTGGACATGCTTGAAACTTGAAAGTTAAAACTTTAGACAGATGACTTGCAGGCACAGTACATGACTAAGTCCCAACTCGGCTGCACTGTCTCATTTATCTTTGTTGTGATTCAGTCATAACTTTTCCTGTTGTGAGGTGGACCCCATGATGCCTAATCAGCATCAGGTTCAAAGGTTGCTTATCAGCGTCTCCTTGGATGTACTGTAATGCAATTGCATTGCGTCTATGATGACGGGTCGGGATGGGTGGAATGAGAGAAGCACGGGTTAAAGTCTAAACGTTGTTTTAAATAACACAAGTTGACGCAGCCATATTCTACTAACCCCGCCCCCATCGTCCCCTCGTGCTGGCAGTGCAAGTTTCTTATCTGAGGCGCACACACAACATTGTGATAATCGCAAGCTGACCTCCAGCAAGAACACAGACAAACAGAAGCGCCACTGCTTCATACGGTTCCTAATTTTGTTGACCGACTTCACATATCCCACCCTCACAGTTTCCAACTCTCCACGTTAATCTCCCACTGGCGCCTCGGTGGTTTGATGTTGGTGGTCGGTAATGAGAAAATGGATGGCATCTTCATTCATTTTCCTGGAGGATCTTTCACCATAATGACCCTGCCTCTCACCAACAGGTTTTTATGGTCTGGATCATTCGGACTTGGATAAGATGTTCCGCCTTCCCAAAACCACTTTCATCGGCGGCAACGAGAATGCGTTACCCCTCAGGGAGATCATTCGACGCCTCGAGGTATAAACACGGTCGATGAGACCCTGCACCATAACGCCAGGGTTCTGAGCTTCAAACCTTCCTGGCGTGTAGGAGGCGTACTGCCAGCACATTGGGGTGGAGTTCATGTTCATCAATGACGTGAAGCAGTGCCAGTGGATCCGAAAGAGGTTCGAGACTCCCGGAATCTTGCAGTTTAGCGCAGAGGAGAAGCGGATCATGCTGACCCGGATGATCCAATCCACCAGGTGTGAGGACGATGAGGTCGCGAGAGCATGACGCAAGGGGAGGATGCAGTTTCTGCAATCTCTTGACAGGTTTGAGGAGTTCCTCCAGAGGAAGTGGTCGTCTGAGAAACGTTTCGGCTTGGAAGGATGCGAGTCGCTCATCCCGGCTCTCAAGACCATCATTGACAAGTCGAGCGCCAGTGGCGTGGAGAGTGTCATCATGGGAATGCCGCACAGGTTCTGAAAGTAGGCAAAATTCTTCATCGGTTCTTCATGAGGTCTTTGACGCTTGTGTTTTTGTCCAGAGGGAGGCTCAATGTTCTTGCAAATGTCATTCGCAAGGAACTGGACCAGATCTTCTGCCAGTTTGATCCCAAATTGGAGTCAGCAGATGAGGTCTGGGACCAAAGCGTTGTCATCGTGTCCTCGTGAACGCTCTCGCCAAATGACATTGACCCCCCCGCATTGCTCTCAGGGTTCCGGTGACGTCAAATACCACCTGGGTATGTTCCACAGGAGGGCAAACCGCATCAGCAACAAGTTGGTCACCTTGTCGCTCGTGGCCAACCCGTCCCACCTGGAGGCCGTGGACCCTGTGGTCCAGGGCAAGACCAAAGCTGAGCAGTTCTACAGTGGAGACACGGAGGGCAAGAAGGCAAGTGTCATCCCATGCGTGATCGCCACCATCTGGCAAGGCTTTTTGTTATCCTTTGGTGTTTCCTTTAGGTGATGTCCATCCTCATTCATGGCGACGCTGCATTTGCCGGTCAGGGGATCGTCTACGAGACCTTCCACTTGTCCGACCTGCCGTCTTACACCACGCATGGTACCGTGCACGTGGTGGTCAACAACCAGGTGCCAGATTCACACCTTACCTCCAACATTTATTGGGGGAGTCCTTAGCTCGGGGGTGGTAAACCTGTTTCGGATTTAAAGGCATAGTTCAGTTTACAGTGCTGCAAAATATATTAGACTTTTGTGTCAACGGGAACACATATGGTCATTTTTTTTCAACATTTGTATTCCTACACCGACATAAAACGAGCTGGAGGGCGGGATCTGGCTCGCAGGCTTTTGCGTTAGAAACCTGCGCTTTAGCTGACCACCATGTCGCGGCACAGATCGGCTTCACCACGGATCCCAGGATGGCTCGTTCGTCCGCGTATCCCACAGACGTGGCTCGCGTGGTCAACGCGCCCATCTTCCACGTCAACGCCGACGACCCCGAGGCGGTCATGTACGTGTGCAACGTGGCGGCCGAATGGAGGAACACCTTCCACAAAGACGTGGTGGTGGACCTGGTGGGTGACCCGCGCCCTCTGGATCGCTCTGGTCTCCAAAACGGATTTCAATACCGGAAGCGGTGTGTCTTTAGGTTTGCTACCGACGGAACGGTCACAATGAGATGGACGAGCCCATGTTCACGCAACCGCTGATGTACAAGCAGATCAAGAAGCAGAAGAGCGTCCTGCACAAATTGACGCAGAAGCTCATCGGAGAGGGGGTGGTCACCGCGCAGGAGTACGAGGTAAATGTCTTCCACGGGGAGTAAACGTTTCACTTTTGAATCGGGTTTCCAGTCTTACCCTTCAGGTTTAAAGCCAGTTCCGAGTTACTGCGGCAAAAATCAAGGAAGTCGAGTCCAGTCATATGATCTTGCTCAATCACAACATACACATTCACCATCCAAATCTGTACCTCTGTGACATCCATAATCACCTCGCTTTTACCGATCCCAAACCAGTCTCTGGACTCTTGATGGCTTTATTTTCTTCTCAATTAAGCACCGAACCCACAAGGGTCCATTTTGTGTCTCAGGAGGAAGTGGCTAAGTACGACAACATGTGCGAGCGAGCTTATGCTCGGTCAAAAGATGAGAAGATCCTGCACATCAAACACTGGCTGGACTCGCCCTGGCCTGGTGAGACCAACATTCAGGACCGGTTTCACACCGACAGCATCCAGGAGATGACTGTTATTAATGTTTATTTAACCCTCAAAACATGTAAGTCAAGAGGCTGTTTTCTCAACGTCTCGCTAGATTTTTTCACTGACGATGGCCGTCCCAAAACGATGAGCTGTCAGTCCACTGGCCTCGCCGAGGACGAGCTTGGCCACATTGGACAGGTGGCCGCCTCCGTCCCTGTGGAAGATTTCACTATCCACCCAGGTACTGGCCTTCTTTTCGAATGTTTATGTGATTTTAATTCTGATCATGTTTCAAGTCGGTTTCAGGTTTGGCTCTCGCAGGCTTTGAGAGTTTTTGCATTTCAGATAAGATTCCATTGTGTTTCCGGTTTGATTCTTATCAATTTCAGGTTTTAAGTTTTGACGTGTTTCAGGTTTGCGTCCAGTTATGCTTGTTTTTTTTTTTTTTTAAGTCTTATCGTGTTCCAGGTTTGTGCCTTGATGTGTTCCAGGCTTGAGAGTTGTTATATTTTAGGATTGCATCTTGTCCTGTTCCAGGTTTGAGTTTTATCAGGTTTAAGTGGCTCAGGTATGAGTCTGGATGTGTTTCAGGTTCGAGTTTTGACATATTTCAGGGGTGTGTTTTGTCATGTTTTAGATTTGGGTCATGTTGTGTATTAGTTTTAAGTCTGGTGGCGTTTCAGGTCTGAGTCGCATCCTGAAGGGCCGAGCGGACATGGTGAAGCAGCGCGTGTGCGACTGGTCGCTGGGTGAATACATGGCCTTTGGCTCTCTGCTCAAACAAGGCGTCCACGTTCGTCTCAGTGGTCAGGACGTGGAGAGGGGAACCTTCAGGTCGGTGTAACTACATAATCTCAAAAAAAAAAACGCTTCCGCCGTCACCATCTGACTGGTTTCATTTGCATCTCAGCCATCGACATCACGTTCTTCACGACCAAAACATAGACAAGAAGATTTGCATCCCTATGAACCACATCTCCAGCGACCAGGCCGCATATACCGTCTGCAACAGCTCACTGTCAGAATATGGAGTCCTGGGTGAGCTGTGCACAAATATTCCAAACCCCGAAGCCTTATCCAAACTCGAATCCCTATCCACAAAAACCTTGACCACCTAACCCTAAAACCAAACCCAACATCCTACTGACTCAATACTAACATTAACTCTGAACCCCAATCATCACCCTCAGCCCTAACTCGGATCACGACCCACAAACAATGAAGCCTGAACAGCAATCCTCCAAAATTTCATCGACCTGAACCTCCGCTGTGTCCTTGTTCTCCTGCATGCGGTCAGGTTTCGAATTAGGCTTTGCCATGGCCAACCCCAACGCGCTGATTCTGTGGGAAGCCCAGTTTGGAGACTTCCACAATACGGCTCAGTGCATTATTGACCAATTCATCAGCTCGGGTCAGGCCAAGTGGGTCAGACAGAATGGCATCGTGCTGCTGCTTCCCCACGGGATGGAGGGAATGGTATGTTCCAACTTCGCAACTCGTGGCTTTTGTGTACGGTATAAGGAACACCTCTCTAGACCGCCGTTCATAGCTTGCACCCCGACTATCCTTTTTGATGCGACATGATGGCGGCTCAGGGTCCCGAACACTCGTCAGCCCGCCCGGAAAGATTTCTTCAGATGTGCAAGGATGATCCGGATGTGTTTCCGGTGAGTTTCTGTCCTGCTGTCGCCTCGTTGACTTCAGTAAATGTCAAGTTTTCATCTCGCCTAACTTCTCAGAAGCAGCACGACGACTTTGCCGTTCAGCAGCTGTACGACTGCAACTGGATGGTCGTCAACTGCTCCACTCCCGCCAACTATTTCCACGTTCTTCGCCGACAGATCCTGTTGCCCTTCAGGAAGCCGGTCAGTGGCTGCGTTACTTCGCTCTACCTTGAACCCAAATCAGGAACCCCGTAACCCTATGAAGATCCCTGGACCACAACCCGCGAACCATATTCCCTAACCCTAAAATTAACCCTGAACCCAAACCCCCAACCCAAAGCCTAATCCTGAACTGTGACTTCCTAAACCTACCCCCTAAAGATGAACCGTAATCCTCCAACCCTGACCCTTAACGTAACCCCAGATTAATAATCCCCTGAACCCAAACATCAACCCATAGCCAAACCGGAAACCCAATCTGAACATCAACCTCTTCTTCTGTCATGACAGCTGATCGTGTTCACTCCCAAGTCACTACTGCGCCACCCGGAGGCTCGGTCCAGTTTTGACCTCATGCTGCCAGGTGAGCACAAATACAAAATGTTCCGTTTCTGGGGTATTGTTTGATTTTTGTCATGACAGCAATTACTGAGCTGTGGTATGATTTTTTTTTTTAACACTTTCATGCATCCTGTAAGATGATAACATAAGCTGTGCACTATAGTAACCGCTGTACCTGAAAGGGTTAATTGACTGAACAGTTCAATATATACCCGTAGAAATCCCGATGTACTAATTTGGGAGATGTGAATGAGTTAAACATTCCAAACGCAGTCCCTTGTTCAGAATCATTCACACCTGCCCTTCATTTCATCAACTATATAGTCCCACTATTTACAGTAACCCCGCAGAGTGATTAGGGACCCTTACTCTGCCCCCCTTCTACAGGAACGCACTTCAGGCGTGTGATCCCAGATGAAGGTCCGGCGTCCACCCAGCCCACCAGCGTGAAGCGAATCGTGTTCTGCAGTGGAAAGATTTACTACGACCTGCACCGCGAGCGCAGCAAGCGAGACCTGGACACCATCGTGGCGCTGGTCCGTGTGGAGCAGGTACAGCCGCACCCGGTCTATCACGTCACCTCGGCCATTCGCGAGTCAGGGTTTCTAACGTGACCGGTCATCGCAGCTGTCGCCGTTTCCGTTTGACCTGGTACGGACCGAGACTGAGCGCTACGCACAGGCGGATTTGGTCTGGTGTCAGGAAGAGCACAAGAATCAGGGCTACTACGACTACGTCATGCCCCGCCTCCAGACCACTGTTGGCCACGTCCGGCCCATTTGGTGAGAGGGCAACCTAACCTGTAACCTGAACTGTTACCCTCTCCCAACCCCTTACTTTTACCCCAACCCATACCACTAACTACTCACCATAACTCTAAATCCCAACCTGTAACCAACCTAACTCTGAACCTGGCCCCAATCCCTAATTGAAACCCCAAGGCTAAAAGCTTGGTTGTGTGTATTCTGTCAGGTACGCCGGCCGCGGTCCTGCAGCCGCCCCAGCGACGGGAAACAAACAAACCCACCTGGCGGAGTTGCAACGCCTCCTCAACACCACCTTCGACCTCAACGCTTTTTCAGGAAACCACAGCTGACCTCCTCCAAGGACCTTGAGCCGCTCACAGGGTCCGCCATCACGGCCGTGTAGCATCGCCGTAAACACGGAAACCTATACGCACAAATCTGTTCATCTAAATCTAAATAAGACTGTAAATATGAGGCAAAAAAGGGGACTCAAGCTGGTTGTGACTCACAGTTACAACAAAACAGAAATCAGTCAAGCCAAATTTGCCAACCAAGCATGTCAGTTAGCCTAACGAAGTGCTGCTATCTTAATGCTACTCTACAATGTCACCATCAACGGGCTAGCATAAATTAGCAAAAGATATTTTGATACTTTGTGATCAATATGAAAGTGAAATCATTTTTCACAGTCTTAACTGTAGTCCAAGGGACATTTCTCAGGGATTTTAAGCTTATTTTTAACGTTTGATGATGTGAATAATGAAGCCAAAGTGTCATTACCTCATGGGATGGACATTTTGTGATACATTAGCAAAATAAATACAAGTTTGACTTTTGATGCAAAGACAACTGAAATGTCAGGTATTTATTTTGAATGTTTCACACTTGACGTCACAAATTAAAGAATGGTATTGATAAATGTCGGAGGTGTGATGCGATCCTAGCCCAGTGTACATTGTTGTGAATGCTAATGTGCTTAATTGTGATTGGCTACCGACCAGTCTAGGGTTTCAATTTCGGTATAATGAAGACGTCAATTGTCCTTAAGTGTGAATGCCAGAGTGAACCCCACTTTTCACACAGAATCAGCTTGGATATCGACTCCAGCGGACCGGATGGTTCAAGGTCGCAGCGATGTAGTTTCTTTTTTCTGGCACTAGAGGGCATCATGCGTCAATTTGAGGCTCATCAGTTGAGCATGGAGCAGGAAAACAGGACACAAAGGCAGACGCTTGTCGGATTTTTAAATGTTTTTTTTTCTTTGTGTTGCGAGCCAAAATTTGAATACAATCGAGTGTCCAGATATGCCTTATCTGAAACTCGTTCAAGTCACTCACAAGGCCACCCCCCTTAAAGGCACACCCAAATAAATGTTGGTTTAGTTACACTTTATAAAAGCTTTTGATTTCTTTACTTTTTTTGTTTTATTTATATTTCACAGGATAGTTTACTTTTAAGGTTTGTATGTCCTCTCATGACCACATGCACACACTTGTTGATGTGGTGATGTCATGAGAGGTCATTATGTTCAGTCCCTTCATCCTTCCTTGCCTCCTTCCCTTTTAGCCTCCTGTCTTGCTTCCTCATTCCCTCCCCTGGCCCCCTTGTAACCTTTCTTACTCCAAATCTATGGCTCCCTTACTCCCCTCCCCCCATCCGTTGCACCACCTCCCCTCCACTCCTAGTCAGTCATGTTGTGTGTTATTCTAGGTCATGAGCAGCAGCCATTTCCCTGGAATGTTCCTGCGCTTGCCAAAGCCTCCCCATTGGAATGCACGCACACACACATGGACACACACACGCACATAAACACAAGATCAGGAAGCAGGCGTGTGCGCTTCTCACCATGGCAACCGGCTGCTTCAGGCGTGTGCGCAGTTGCCGTGTGTGTGCTTAGTTGTGACAAATTTCGAAAAACCACCCCCAAATGTCCCACCTTTCTCCTCCCCTTCCCTGATGGAGGTTCAGCCCAATGAGTCGCCCCCGCCCCCCTCCTCCGTCGCCTCCACCCCTTTCTCACTGCTGTTGTGCTGTAAGTGACATTGTGTAATGACTGCAGTAGGTCGCCACTATGCGGCAGGTCGTTGGGGGGGGGGGGTTGATATGATAGTGTGGAGAGGAAAATGAAGAAATGGGAAATCTCTGCACCTGTTTCCACGGCAACCCAGCTCTGGAAAAAAAAACAATGGGTTGCGACATTGCTCTCTCTCTCTCTCTCTGTCTCTCTCTCTCTCTCTCTCTCTCTCTCTCTCCTCTCTCTCTCTCTCTCTGTCTCTCTCTCTCTTTCTCTCTCTCTCTCTCTCTCTCTCGCACACAAACACACACACACACACACACACACACACACTTGCACAAACTACAACATACACGTCTACAAAAAGAATCACACTTTCACACACACTTCTACAAACACCCTTGTGAGCACCAAAAACACACTTCAACAGCATGACAGTTGCAAGGACTAAAGAACAACACACACACACACACACACACACACACACACACACACATTTACAAAGACACTTACACGGACACTCCTCAAAAGCAAGACACACTTGTAAGGACAAAAACAAGCGACACACACTTCAACAAAGGACAGACCGAAAGACACAGATTTGTAACGACACACACAGACCTCAACAAGACTGATTTGCAGGGATCTCACACGCTTAGAAACACACTCACAATCCTGTACAACAGGACATGCACACGCCCGTAAGGACTACAATACGCATGGTCACACAAAACACGCTATAACACAAACCTACATGCGATACACATCTTTACAAGACACATTTTTGTGAGGACTACAACACACACAAACACACACACACACACACACTTGATGAGAGACTAGAGAAGTAAAGACTAGAGAATACGCGCGCACACAGAAACGTAGACATATTTTTAACATATTTTTTTATTCTCTTCCCCAAACTGTCAGTACCTTTCCAAGATGGCGGACGTAAAGACGCACGGCCAGTACCTGTATGCTTCCTGGTGACGCCATGCTCGCTTGGAGTAGGAGGAGGAGGGGCAGGCGAGTGGCGGTGACGTCATGAATTCATTATAGCTTGTCATTGTGCAATGGTCTGTCTTTACTAAAGTGAGCTCCGCGTCCTCGACGAGCTAGCTGTAATTGGTTCGCCGACTTAGCGTAATTAAACGTGACGCCGACCGGAAGTGTTAGGTCGCCCCGATTTTAAACACTTGGGACTGCGCCGCCTGGCTCCTCCTTGTGGACACAATGAGCGCAGAAAGGGGAGACTTTACAGCCAAACTTGACAGCTAGTCCGGCGTTAGCCGACTGCGACACCACACGAGCTAGCGATCTTGCTATGCCGAGCTAAGCTAAGCTAGCTCACCGAGGCGTCTGGCTTCGGGACGTGGACGCCCGCGTACAGACAGGTAAGGTGCGTTCGAATGTCACGACGCGAGCACGGCGGCGTCGGGCTCCCAGCTCACCCCAACGCCGCGTTCGCGCGTTGCGCGAACACGCGCACAGATGCACGCGCCGTTACCGGGGTCGCGCGCACGTACGAACGGTATGGTCACACCAGCCAGGTAGGCGGTACCGAACGCGTCTTGTGCGTTGGTCGCGAAAAGCCGCGTGCACGCCGCTTTGTTCCGTTGTGCCGCCGAAAGCGGTGAGCGCCGGTGGCTGGAAAGCCAGGAGGTGTGCGTGCTCGCGTCGTGCAGCGTTGTGTTATCGCGGGCGTCACGCGCACGCGCAGGCACAGGTAATTGGCTCTAAGCGGGCGCGTGCACACATTTTCTCATTGTCTGACGGATTCATGTCTGGCTGGGTCGTGCGCGTGCACAAGTGTGTTTGTCAGTGCAGCAGGTTCGTGTTGTTTTTGTTTGCGGGAATTCTTTGTGTTGTTTTGTATGACTCTTTATTGTGTGCGTGGGTATGCGGCACCTGTAGCGCCTTCCACGCGTGATGTTGTGCACGTGCGCGTGAGGAGTAGACTTTTGCTTCGTTTCCATGTGCACGTTCGCGCACATACATTCACCTGAAGATGTTCCATCATGTTGATGTCAAATATGACTTTTGAGTTATTAATTGTAATTGATGATCACGGTGATTCAATTGCTTCTGTTTTCCTCTTCTTTTAAAGCAGAGCGCCACCTGCTGCTGAGGATAGTTATCTCACATGGTTCTTCAAGTTTGCATTGAAACCTGTAATATCTGAACATTTCTTTGACATCCTAACCTGCGCTTGAAACCCTGAACTTGGCATGGCACCCTAAGTTGTGTCAACTGGAAGTTGTGCGGTTGCGCCCTCAAAGCTGGCGTCGTCTTCTGTCGTCTCAGTTGACGTTTATTGTAAAACTCACGCATAGAACATGAGATTCATCATTATTTATTTAAACACAAATTGTTTAACCAAACCTAGTAACTCTGCCAGTCATGCTAACATATAACGCAAACCACCATAAACGAGCTAGCGGCACTTGGCATCGATTGATGCTTCGAAGCGCTGTTACATCTTGCAATTGTGACGAAAATGTGTTTTTAACAACACTTGATTTTCAGTGTTGTTAAAAACACAAAGCACAAACTTTCCTTAATCACAGTATAACTTTTTCTCGCGTCACTTTTTTGAGTAACGTTGACATTTTAACATCGAATAGTCTTGCCGCACGTTTCACTTCATTCACTGAAATCCGACCCAGTTGCAATGCATATTTGACATTTTTTGGCCATGAATGGCAGTGAACGGAAATCTTGTCGATAACGCACGCTGCTCCAGTTATGTGGTATGTCAGACTGAACACTAGGGGCACGATGCAAAAAGTGTACTAAAATGAGAGACGATGAAGAGTCTAATGGCTACACAAGGAGGAATACCGATGCCATGTTCCCTCTGTGTTTTTGTGGTATTTTATCATTGCTTTGTCTGTGACGATAGCGCGGCCTGCTCGATATCTCCACATGGCAGACATGGCCTCTACTCCACCAGTCTGTTTGGTGTGTTCATTAGGTTGGTAAAATGTCTTCTCTGGTATCTGTAGCATTTTTCTAGTACGAGATGCCCAGTATCGGATAATGATTCCGGTATTGCGATGAATGCATCCCTGCAAAATTTACAAGAAGAAATGTCAACATTAAAATCAGAAAGTGTTTCCTTTTGAAATCAACAAGATAAATTTAGCTCCATACATCACCCCCCCCCTCCCCTCAGGCCCTCCCGGTCCCCGTGCGAGGAGGCGAGCACTCGTCGTGTCCGCGTACAGTCACACATGAAAGGCAGTGGTGTCGTTGAAGCCGACGGTGACCATGGCGACGCCAAAGTGGCTGACTGAGCTTCTTCCTCTGTGCGTTTATCTCTCTCAGGGGCGCTCCCCAGTCACCCCCATGCTCCTCCAATGAAACCCCTCAACTCCATGAAACGAGCCCCGCATCCCACTCCTCAAAGGTATGTGCATGCGCGCACACACGCATTCACGCCGCAACAATCCTCATTTAGGTCACGAACACTTTGTACACCTTCAATTTCGCATTTGGGTGTTCTCGACATGGCCATAAATCTTTTGTCAAAACTGTTCAGATGTTCAAATTGTAACTCATTCAGCGCATTGTCTTTATTTGATGCTCCAAGCCGCCAGGGGGCACCATTTCCCGAGGAAGGTTGTATTCTATTCATCCATGAGAAGGAAGGAAGCGTTGACTTCCTATTGGTTAATTTGCTACACGGCCGTTTTCAAAATGAGAGGTCTAAAAAGGTGACTGGCTGGTGGACGTAGCTTAGCATTTAGCAGTGAAAGAGCTAAACAGATGCTAATTGAAACAAGTGAAATAAACAAGGCACAAAAATATTGTTTATTATTGCGCCCCCAAAAAGTGATGTGTCCATTTCCTGTTGATGGTTACAAGGAGAGAGTGTCTGACCATCATCCCCTTCCCGTTTCCGTCCAAATGGGTCATAACCGGCTGCTGATTGTTCATTAATAATTTCATAATTGCACTTGAACACAGCTAGTGGGGAAACTGTGAGGAGGTCCTGGTGTGAAGAACCACTAAGGCCCGCCGCCACCTTCATGGCCCTTTTTTTTCTCTCTCCCCCCCTCGGCAGCGGTGACGGAGCCTTCCTCCATGAGCCAGTCTCCTGGCAACCAGCAGCCAATCAACACGCAGGATCTCTCTCTGTAGTAACCACAGTGTGGGGCGTGACCAATCCCACGCACAGCCAGGTAACATGTGGCACTGCTTCATCAAAATAGCAAAGGAAAGGAAAAGCTACGACCAAATGCATTTTTACGATATACTAACGAAGCTGGGCAAAATAGAGCCCGTGGGCCACCCATAAAGAAAGCAGTGTGGCAAACCAGTGAAGAAATGCTCATGTTGACGCTAACGTTTAATGCTAGCATTGGAAACAAATGTTCAAACAAATGTCGGACAACGTTGAAAGTGATGTCCTTTTTTACCCAACACCACAAAAGTGTCGTTGCAATGTATGTGTACCTAATAAAGTGACCTGAGAGTGTAACCCTGTTTTCTGCGCAGGTAATCGGAGCGCCACCCATGGGTCCTGGCGACAGCACGGGTGGTCACATGATGCCCGGCGGGGGCGGAGGCGGCGGCCCCGGCATGGCTGGTGCCATGGGGCCGCAGTTCATGAGCCAGCAGGGGTACGGCGACGCCATATCCAAAGGTTACGGCCAGCCGCTCATGTATGGCCGCCCCAATGCAGGGTACAACCCTGCAGCGACCTACGGCAGCAGGTACCGTTCCCGCCAATAAATGGGGGGCTTCCCTGTAATGTGGTTGAATGCTGTCTTACAAGCAAAATTTTAACGAACAAAACTTGAAGCTAACTAGGTAACTGAAATTAATGTTTGGAGGCAACATTGGATGCTAACGTCTTCTTTTAGCTCGAATGTTCGAAACTGACTCATTTGAAAGGTAAATTAGAAAGCAAACATTGGAAGCAAATATTGGAAGCTAATGTTAAATGTTTTCCCTTGCTTGAACGTTAGCGAAAATGTTCGAAATCAATGTCAAGCTCACATTGAACGCTATTATAGGGAGGTAACTTCAGAGGCTAAAGTTGAAACTTACATTGTAAGCTAACAGTGGGAGCGAACAGTCTCTTTTAGCTCTTATGAAAACCGTTGAAGCTAACGTCACACGCAAATATTGCTCATCCTGAGTTCTAACATTAGTGCTAATGTCGGAAGCTATTTTTAGAAGCTAAGATTGAAATCTAATGTCCGAAGATAATTCTGTAAATTCACGCGAAGATAACAGAGCAATCTAACGTCACAGGAAATGTTAGAAGCTGCCTTCAAAAGCTAACGTGCCAGGTTTACATTGAAGCTAACATGGGAGACTTGCAGTCTTCGTAAGTTTAATGTTGCTTAAGTAGATTTGTGTCTGTAAATATGACTTTTCCCCTCTGTGCAGTTACTCGGGTAACAGCGGTGGGATGGGTGTGCGCCCCCCCTCAGACTTCACCACCGCCGCCGCCGCCGCCGTGGCTGCCGCTACAGCTACCGCCACTGCCACCGCAACCGTGGCGGCCATACAAGAGAAGCAGCACCAGGACATTAGCTACGCGCAGGTACTCGGACACTTGAAGCCAAAATATGAAACCGGTGTTTCAAATCCTAAATTGGAACCTTGTTCAAAACCATAACAAATTTGTTGAAGCCTTAACATGAAGCCCTACTTTGAATACCTTATTTAAATCCTGAGATTAAGCCCTATTTTGAAACTGTAACTCTTGATATCAGATCAAACATGAAACCCCAACCCACGTTAAAAAGCGTCACCCTTGCTTGGAAGTCTAATTTGAAACCTTAATCTTAATGGTAGATCTCAAGCCTAGTTCATGTAATGGCCACCAGAGGGCAGCATGACCCCGCTACCGTTCTTCACTTATTTTTTGTTGTTGTTGTTTCCCTGGCAGATGGGCGGACCCTCCTCTTACAGCCCCCAATTCATGTCGCACGGGGGCCCTCGTGGACCCCCGGCCATGAACCAAGGCGGTATGGTCTCAAGCAGGTCGGGACTGGCGCCACCCTCTACCGGGGGCTTGTACCCATCTCACCCTGGACACACACAGAAGATGCACGGTGGAGGAGGAGCAGGTGGGGGATATCCTGGTGGAACGCAGGGACTCAAACGCACTTTCCACCCTGAGGTGAGAACCCTACCAAAACCTTATTTAAAAACCCAATACAGGCTTGACATAGTCATCTAAAACCCCAAATCTTACACCTTAATCTTGCCCTCAAAGTGTCATTTGAAACAGTAAACTTGGAAACTAGTTTCAAAGCTGAACACTTGTTTGCAGCCCTACCCCTACCTAAGTTTGTTTTGACTTGTGACGGGCAGTTCGGCGGCAACGGCGGCGGGATGTCGTCCATGTCGGCGTATCCTCAACAGCCTCTGCAGTACCCCCCCGGACCGCCACAAAGGTGCGCCCCCTCGCCCTCGTACCCGGCCGGCCGCATGCCCCCCATGGGCCAGTACGCCTCCGGGTCACACAGCAACCCGCCGCCGTTCCCCGCCAGCGCCGGACAGCCCAACCCACCCCAGTACTACAAGGTAAACACCCCCAAAAAAATGGAGGAATCTTGGGTTGTTTCCAATACTCACGACAACAAATGAATGATCAATAAGCAGTATTATAAATACTAAAATACATAAATACTGATTCCTTGTGTTGCTGGTCTTCAGTCAGAAGTGTTTAATGGGCAGACAGGACTGCCCCCTGCAGGCCCAGGAGGATACAACGCCTTCACTCAAGCAGCGGCCAGCGGGGTGAGTGGCGCTAAATGCTCAATACGAAATTCAGAAGGATTCTTGATGCTGTCCTGAGGGCTGGGCAATATGGCCCTAAAATAAAAATTTAAAGGGATAGTCAGACCCAAAATTGTCTTCATGGTAATCTAATCTTTGCGCCTCCAGAAGTCTTCTTCTTAACAGCTCACCTGTTTTCTCAAAGTGAGCCATGATTAGTCGTTACCTGAGCCAAAACTTGAATCTTGAGTGCACCCAAGTTGGTTTTTTTTTCCCCCCTCCAAGATGGATTGGCAAAGTCCCAACTGTGACTGTGAGTTTGCAAACTAACTCCTCTGTTTGCAGCCATGTTGTAAGTGTAAATCATGCACATCAGGATAAGACATGCTTTTAACCACAGGATTCTGTTGAAAAAAAAAAACCCAAAAATGACCCTCATAATGAAGAACAAACAGGATAAGACATGCTTTTAACCACAGGATTCTGTTAAAAAAAAATGACCCTCATAATGAAGAACAAAAAAAATCTCAAATTAATAGATGAAATGGTTTACTCGCCCAGCCGGAGTGCCACCTTTGCACATGAACGCTTTCTAGTCACTGAAGCATAACTCTCAGCCGTTGTCTCCACTTCACAGCCCGGGCGGGGCGGAGGGATGCCCGTGTACCCCAGCTCGCCCATGGGCGGCAATCCCACACCTCCCATGACACCTGGCACCTCCATGCCGCCTTACCTCTCCCCAGGCCAGGAGACCAAATCTCCCTACATGCCCCCCGATGTCAAAAGCAACATGGGTGGCCCGCAGACTGCCACAGGTGAGGCGTTACAGTTAGCCCGCACATGGCCTCAGTTGGGGATTTTTCATGATATTATCATCACTTATCGCGCCCCCCGCCCCTCCCATAGCGTAGATGTCATCAGACCGACATGTGTTCTTGCGTTGTTTCTTCCTGGTCAAGGTAACCCTAGTGACGATCTCCGCCTGACCTTTCCGGTGCGTGACGGCGTGGTTTTGGAGCCTTTCAGGCTGGAGCACAACTTGGCGGTCAGTAACCACGCCTTCCAGCTTCGAGACTCCGTCTACAAAACGCTCATGATGAGGTAAGGCGGCGAATTCACTTTTTCAACTCCGATGCCAACATTCCGTCGTGACGCTCCGAATACGACGCGATTCCCTCTATGACGTGGTTTGTTCCACATATGTTGCAGCGCGAGAGAATTGCCATCTCGACGGGAAATATGTTTCATTCCGATTCGATGCAATGTGCGACTTGAGCGCCGTGTTGTGTTCGCCGCCCTACGCAGGCCCGATCTGGAGCTGCAGTTCAAATGCTACCACCACGAGGACCGGCAGATGAACACCAACTGGCCCGCCTCGGTGCAGGTGAGCGTCAACGCCACGCCTTTGTCCATCGAGCGCGGCGACAACAAGACCTCCCACAAGGCCTTGTACCTCAAGCAAGTGTGCCAGCCCGGCCGCAACACGGTCCAGATCACCGTCACCGCCTGCTGCTGCGTAAGTTCGTGGAAGCGCCGTCGCCAAATTACAATTCAACTCGTGTTCCATCTCCACGTTTGATTTTCTATAAGAGCGCGTTTGTTTCCGCAGTCCCATTTGTTCGTGCTGCAGCTGGTCCATCGGCCCTCCGTCAGGTCGGTGCTGCAAGGACTCATGAAGAAGCGGCTGCTGCCCGCGGAGCACTGCATCACCAAGAGTGAGATGCACACTCAACACTCCATTCATATACCGCCGAATTTAAAGTTGAAGTTGTGACAAAATTGCATATTTGCTAGTGTTTCGATGTCCTAAACCAGTGCAGCATTTTCTTGAATGTCATTACAAACAGAGCCAGAATACATCTTTCTATATTTAAGTCAAATACAAACTAATTCTACGGAGATTTGGTTTTCATCTCAGGCACATTTGTTGAGGAAAATGTGCCTTTTGTCCTTGCGTATTTTTTTCTTGGGTAAACCTTTGTGATGAAATTGTAGCTGTGGCCTTCAAGTTTTTTTTTAATTTATATTGCTGGCACCTACAGGTCAGGAAAATACAATTCACTCTCATTTCAATGTGCTTTCCTTGACAAAATGTTTTGTTTAACTTAAGATAACTTAAAATAATAATAAAATGACAGTACCGTTTTGTGTTTATCATCAGAAGTCAAATTGTCCCACAACGATTGATGGAAAAAACTAACTTTAAAATATTAGCTGTGGCCGACCCAAGTTCACAATTTTTCATACTGCCACCTACAGGCCAGGAGGCTACAGTTCACCCCAATGTCTTTCCAATTACATTTAAAAATAAGTACTTTTTGTTATCGATAGTACTATCCCTTGTGATTTGTTTACCTGTGATGTACAAGGTTGAAATGAGCATTAGTGCCACCTACAGGACTGGAGTGGCACAGGAACAACCAGCGCTCGCAGTGTTTGAAATGAGCTCTTTCGCAGTCTGTTCAATGTCAGATTAAAAATGGCGGATGTCATTGTGAAGCGGTCGTTCATATGTTTCAGTCAAGAGAAACTTCAGCAGTGGCACCATCCCCGGGACCCCCGGGCTAAACGGAGAGGACGGCGTGGAGCAAACGGCCATCAAAGTGTCGCTCAAGTGTCCAATCACTTTCCGGCGCATCCAGCTGCCGGCACGAGGACACGACTGCCGCCACATACAGGTTCGGACACGGCTCAAATGCCTAATTCACACGTGCGAAGCACTTTGACAAAACAGCGCCTTGATGGTTTTGCACTCAACTCGCCTTATAACACGTAGCTTGGCAAATAGGGGACAATGATTGAAAAAAAAATGAGGCAACAAACTGTTTGATACTACTAACAGTTGAAATCAAGCTAAACATCAAATGAAACATATTGCATCTTGTGTTTAAAAAAACAAACAAACAAAAAAACCATCGCTTTGCTTAAGCCAAGTCCACGTAGCTTCATGCTAGCAAACAAGGCATAAACCACCTATGGGTTCAAATAATAGCCGAGGTGTCGCAGTGTTACAACCTTTTAAAATATGGATATTTGAACACAAACGGTGGGGCAACACAGGTAAACGGAAAATATAAACACCGAGGTGCATATTCTTTATTCTGTGTGGAAAAACAAATATTACTTCAAATTAATGAGGAGCTTTGAAGTAAATCTCGTTTGTATCATACCGCCTACATACGGCCATGGAAGAATTATAGCGTCCAGTGAATGAAAAAAGTGCAACTTTAAAGATGAAAAAAATGCAAGGTTATTTATTTATTCCAAATTTTTAAAACTCTTCTTTGTAGTGTTTTGACCTGGAGTCGTACCTGCAGCTCAACTGTGAACGAGGAACGTGGAGGTGTCCCGTCTGCAAGTAGGTGCCCATGGAGCATGATGATGATGATGATGACCAGGGTTTTTCTGGGCTCAAATTGAGGCTAAGATGTTCGGGCCCCACTAGTATGGTAAAATATAATGACTAAAATACCTTCTTTTTGATCTCTTAACGCGTACAATAATAAAAAATATGAGTGACAGGTGGAACGGTTGACTGTTTTGCAATATCCTGCCGTTTAGAATTTAACTTTACAACAAAAAGAAAAATCGACCAATTTGTATTTTGAGGTGGCTGGGGTAATGATTGAATGTCATTGTTTGTCTTATGCTGTCATGTGCAAACAAAAAAACAAAAACAAAACAGATTTAACCCTTTTGGGGACAGCGGTTACTACAGTGGACAGTTTATCATGTTATCAGGTTGCAGGGCGCATGAATGAAAGGGTTAAAAGAGCTTGACAACTTTATCTGCTGGGTCCGAAAAAAAAGTTTCTATTATGTCTGATATTTTAGATCAAAGGTGGCCCAGAATTAGGTGAAGGCGGTAGGAAAATTGAACGGACCGATGATGATGTAACGGAGCGCGGTGCTGTCATTTCAGTAAGACGGCTCTGCTGGAGGGTCTGGAGGTGGACCAGTATATGCTAGGGATCCTGGTCTACATCCAGAAGTAAGTCCTCATCCCGCTCCGGGATTGCCGCTTTGCCGTGCGCTCATTTGCGATGTCCGTCCGCCAGTTCCGATTACGAGGAGATCACCATCGACCCGTTGTGCGGCTGGAGGCCGGTGCCGGTCAAGCCTGACCTGCACGTGAAGGAGGAATCTGACGGGCCGGCGCTCAAACGCTGTCGCACAGTCAGCCCCAGTCACATGCTGATGCCCAACGTCATGGAGATGATCGCCGCGCTGGGGCCCGCCTCCTCGCCGTACGCCAGTGCCGGGGCGCCGGCTGGGGGCAACAGGGGCAGCCCAGACTACAACAGACCTGGTGAGAGAACTGCAACTGCAACTTTTACCCACTTTTTTCGCTTTTTTTTTTTTTTTTCTGGCTTTCTTAAAATGTAGTTCAGAAACATTTTCTTTTTGCCAGAAAACCACTCCCATCTCATAAAAGTCCTTCATTTGCATTATTTGTTTTCAGTGAAAGTCAAGTTAAAATCGAGCAACTAAAATATTTTTCCCCCTCAAAAGACTGCTGTAAAAATAAAACACTTTTCAGAATTTTTTTCTTTTGGAAATTCCATTAAATATTTCAAGAACAAAAACAATCACATCAATTGTTTTTCTTGAAACAAATGCTTTTTTTTTCTGGGAATTTTCTTTTTAATGTATATTTTTGCATATTTTTTATTTATTCTGGAGAAAGATGACTAATCTTAAAAGCGCTTTTAATAGATATTTTTTCTAAATTTTTAAGTCTTTTTTTTTTCGACTAGTATATCTTTTTGTGAACTGTCAACTCATTCTCATAAGAATTTGCTTATTTTCACGCTGGAGGGAAAAAAAAATGTGTGAACAAGCGTCACCGTGTAGTCGGAACATAGATGAATTAAAAGAAAGGAAGCTTTCAAGTTAAGTAGCACGATCCGCCATTTGATGCTACGTGACCCGGAACGTTCTTTCTTCTTTTCTCTTCTGACATTGTTGCTGTTTTTCCTCAGGGAGCCGAGGCTTTGCCAGCCAGTCGGGTTTCCCCGAATTCCCTAACACTCCCGGCACGCCGACCCTGGGGGAGTACCCTTCCTCCGGCCCGCCGCTATCTTACCAGCACGAGCAGGTGAGCCAGACGAAACGCTCTTACGTAAGACGCACGTCATCGATGTTGACGCCTCGGGCGGTGCTGGACTCTTTCTTCCAAGTGCTTGAAAGCGCAGACCTTGCCCGGTGTTATGTAATCATCACGGTTTTTACCGCCAGCGGTCCAGGCACGTTCCTGCATGCTCGTACAATAACGTTCTCTTATTATTATGAGGAAATGGACACTCAGAACTGTTTGAGTGAAAACGGATTGAAATTGTGTCTTCGATTGCCGGCCATCTTGTGTGGAATTTGCATTTTCTCCTTGTGCCTGCCTGGTTTTCCTCCCACATTCCAAAAACATGCATGGCAGGTTCATGGAACACTCTCCCTATGTGTGACTGTAAGCGCGAATGGTTTGTCTATGTGTGCCCCGTGATTGGCTGGGAAACCAGTTCAGGGTGTCCCCCCCGCCTCCTGCCCGAGGACAGCTGGGTTGGGCTCCAGCATGCCCGCGACTCTCGTGTGGATAAGCGGATTAGAAAATGGATGAATGGATGGATGGATTTTCACTTTACAAGCTCGTAAAATTTTCAAAATGAACTTCTGCTAGCTCAATGCTAACATGAAATGTGAATTGCCACCGACTGGATAACAGAAATTAGCATCGTCATTCTAAAAGAGAATGTAATGTAATTGTTGTTTCATGGCATGGTATTGCACTGAAGGCGCGCGACTCTGAATTCAGACTCGCCTGTAAAAACCTATTTAAAAAAAAAAAAAAGCGGCAAAATCTGTGTTATAGCAAGAGTTGACTGTCTTACAAATTGAACAGCTGACTGTCTCTCCCTGCTGCCTCGTTAGTGCCGCCGAGAGCCATTAAGCAAGCATTCATGCCCGTTTCGTGAGTTTCCGATTGTCGCGCGCAGCTGCTGGCCAACTGTCGCGCTTCCTCTCACCCGCCATCCTTCATTGCGCTTCCTCTTTCCACACGGCCAGGCGCCGCACCCTTCCCACAATGCCTTGCTCCCGCAGCACGCCAACCAGAACCTCGGCGAGGAGAGGAGCGGGGCCGCTTCCCACAATGCACGGCTGCACGCCGAGGGCTCCTTCGGTCTGGGGGCCCCCCAGGGAGGGGCCGGCGGAGGGGCGGCCGATCACTCGCTAGATGTGAGCCATTTCTTTTCATTCAATGCATTGATGAAGTTGAGTCACAATTTGGTTTAAAAACAACCTCAGCTGAAAGAAATTGCTGTCCTCGAATACAAATTAACTGATTGATTGATGTCCTGCATTTTTATTTTCCCCAAATATTTGTTATAGCTTCTGCCCGAGCTGACCAACCCGGATGAGCTGTTGTCGTACTTGGGTCCGCCCGACCTGCCCAGCAACAGCAGCGACGACCTTTTGTCGCTCTTTGAGAACAACTGAGCGTCTCTCCCCGCCTTCCTCTTCATCTTCTCCTTCTTTGTCATCTTCTCTGTCGTCGTCATCTTCTTTTTTGTCTTCGATGTCGTCGTCTCCTCCCCTTCAATTTGTCACTCGGATCCTTTTTCACGTAACTTTGGAAGACTGCGGCGTTCCCGGTCCAGATTGCGCAGCACAACCATTATATTACTAGTAGCATTTTCCACTTGTAGTAACATCTTTGGGCTGCTAATATACATTGAAACCGTTCTAGTAACTAACCGCTGTCCTGCAGTAGTAACACTACTCGGTCCTTTGGGGACCGCAGGAGAGGTGGCGCGTTACTTGCTGGACGTGGACAATTTAATTTTATTCAATTTAGTCAAAATATCTTTTAGCCATGTTAAATTGCTAATAATTCCTCACCAAAAAAATGTCCCCAAAGACGTGTTCTCTTCCATTCACCCATGTCTGAGCATTCCTGCTCTCTTAGCACCGCCCAATCTAAGAAAACAATTAGGTCCTCAATCTTATATGTATAAGATTAAGGAGACTCCCCCCGTACCGCCCCCGCTGACTAAACACATGCTCGCTTTCTCGAGCAGCCGGTGAGACGCCCGACAAGCGTCTCCGGCAGAGTCTTTATGAGCAGCCACTTCAGCCGAGGCGCCCTACCCGGCGACTTTCTTACTATTTCCTGTTTTGTGGGCCGGTTGAAGGACGATGTCAGGAAAAGGGCGGGCAGGCACACGGCGAGAGGCGGGGTTTCAGTGAGCCAGGCATCCGACTTCCGGGTTAGCAAAATAGCCATCACAATAACTTCGATCTCATAAGAAATTAGATTGCCATCGTGCCAAAGGTCATCAATAATCTTCTGTGCCTCGAGTTAACTGTGGAAATCGTAAGGTCCATGTACACTCTTTGTCGTCACAAGTAGGACAACTTTGGCACATTGGGAGGACAGCTGCATGTTACTCGTGAGGCAAAACTGTTCACTAGTTCACAACTGGGATATCATCGATACTGACTCGGTGCTCCAATGGCTTTCAAGCAACTTTGAAATGAAACAAAATGCAAAATGCTTTAGCTAATGAAAATTAGCATCAATGTTACGGAAACTACGCTAATGTAGCACAAATGTGTCAAAGTACTACACTGAAGTGCACCACTCTAATGTTACTCGTAACATGAGAAAATTCTTCTAGTAACCAGCTAGCGCACAGGTGTCAAACTCAAACCCTGGGGGCCAGATGTGGCCCACCGCATCATTTTATGTGGCCCACGAAACGAAATTATGTGTCAATTTGCACGATCCTTGCTCAAATCTGTAACGACATGTCCAATTGCGTGTCAGAAGTAGCTTGTCCTACCATTGTACCAAATTTGTTGCATGAAAGCCGTATGACGACTTATGACTTGATATCCATCTTAAGGTTCACGCACTCGTACGCTGTCTGTCCTCTATCCCAACTTTGGCATACTAGTTGGACAACTACATGCCTCTAGTCAGGCAAAACTCTGCACCAGTTGACAATTGCAGACGACAAGCACACCCAGTGACGTCACATTCCCATTTCTAAATTCCGTACTATATACTGTAGAATAGTGACATCTAGCACTTCACTGGTTGTACTCGTCGGGTACAGAAGGTAAGTAGAGCACAGTATGCCTCGCGAGTAACATGGAGTTGTCAGTTATACAGCCTGGTAGTACATGGCCAAGGGAAAAAAAAAGCTCAAACGGCTTCCCATGTTGGAGGCGAACATGTTGAACCGTTGAGACAACGCCCACATTCCATCATTCCAGTTTGGCAATGTCGCCTCATGTGAATATTTCCCTATTTTCATCGCATTACATGTGCTCTTGTTCTTCTTCCTCCTGTTCATTATTGTCCGTGTTCAACCACCTGATCTTTTTTTTTTCCCTAACAGACACTTTGAGGTTCCCAAAACGGCAACATAAATGTTGACTTTTATTTGGGGGGTTAAAAAAAAAAGACTATTGAACTGCAAATTTACTAGGAAACACGTTTTTAAGATGTAAACTATTGCACATATTTTGTAACACATTTTAATTGCCATTGTTTTCTATTTATTTTGTAATCGTTATTATCATTGATTGTACCTGCGATTGCTTTGTTCATTTGCTGGAGCTGGAAGATGAGGATTAAAACCACTTTATTATTTCAACAAACTTCTAATTTTTGTTGCCTGCACCACCTGCTTGAGCAATCAGAATAGAGCGCATTAAGACAGCGAATAATCACTTTTGACCACAGATGCCTGCGCAACACTGCAGTGTGTGTGTGACAAAAATAATTCATTTTACTTATTTTTACGTTTCCTGCTTGAAGAAGGTAAAGACGACACAGAGAAATCATGAAAAGTGAATCCGATGTCTTATCATTTGAGTTTTGTACTTCTTAAAAAGAAAAGTTAGCTTTCTTTGTTTGTTTTGCCATTATCCTTTTAATACAGAACATAAAATGCAACACAAGCCTTTTATTTTAAAGTGAAAACGTTGAAACTTGAATGGGTACGTTTGATTCATTCACCTAGAAACGCCGCCAATAGAAATAGAACTACAGCCTGCTAGCATCCGCCCGCACGGATTGTTGTGACTGTCAAAGCTCATCGTTACGTTTTTACCCTTAAAGCCCGCCCACCTTTTGCCGCTATTGGTTAGTTCTCTCCGAGGACCCGGTTGTGATTGGCTTCTGATGACAGTGACGTTAATCAGGTTAGGATAAAACTCGTCCCGCATCGATTCTGTCGTCAGACGTCTGTTGTGGTTCAAATTTAATAAAGATAAAATCAGCTTCTTTTCCCAATTAAAAGATGCCAAATCCCGTAGTTTTCTTCGACATCACCATTGCTGACGCCCAGGCGGGGAGGATCACAATGGAGGTAATTAATTAAAGTTATTATTCTACGTATTTTATGGATTGTTTGTCTAAAGTCGCTCGTGTGATCGCCACCTTACGTGGTGCACAGACCGAAAGTCAAATCGATTAAAAAAAAAATAATAATAAAATCTCGCAGCTGGAAGAAGTATGGAAGCATCTTCTAGAAGATTTATTCAGTGTCATCAACGTGAATAGGTGACGTAATGTGTTCCCAGTGAAGAAAACAATGTTCGTTAAAAAAATCAACAACACGTTTTGATCGTCATAACAATAAGAATGACAATAACAGCGACTATCAAAATATGAATGTGTGTTTTGTGTTACAGCTTTTCGCGGACGTAGTTCCAAAAACTGCTGGTAGGTAATCGTCTGCCTCTGCATGACCGACTGTCAATCAAGACGGGGGGTGGGATCGAAAACAATATCTATCTATCGATGAACCAAATTTAGCGATTAACATCATTCTGTAATCTTGTTGCTGCAGATTACATAGGCATGGCAACACGTTGAGGCTCAAATCTGATCCAGATCCACATCGTACTAGAAGCAGTTTAGCCAAGTTGAGAGTAAATGAATACAATTTTCTGGAGCAAGATTCCATGTTTGAGCTGTCAGAAAAGAATGAAGACACAAAATAGCCACCGTGTTGATGGACGCTTTTTGATTGGCAGAGAACTTCCGGGCCCTGTGTACCGGCGAGAAAGGTTTTGGGTACAAGGGTTCCAGCTTCCACCGCATCATTCCCAAGTTCATGTGCCAGGTATACACTCTTGGGGAACTTCAGGCTGCATTTAAAGGTCCTTGAGTGAAGATTGTCAAAGGTGCCTTTAAATGTAACCCTCTTTTCATGGCTCGCTACTGTGCTTTAATAACGCCTGTGTTTCCAAAGTGCATGCCACCTTATGTGACGTTCACGTTTTTGTTTGTTTTTAATAGGGTGTGTTCCTCTTTTCATGACGCGCCTATATAGTTTTGCAGCCCCTCTCGTCAGGATGCGGCTAATGCTAACATTTTGGGGCGCTGCAGGGCGGCGACTTTACCAACCACAACGGGACGGGAGGGAAGTCCATCTATGGTGAGTCCTTCGATGATGAGAACTTCAACCTGAAGCACACCGGCTTTGGGACGCTTTCCATGGCCAATGCTGGAGTCAACACCAATGGCTCGCAGTTCTTCCTTTGCACACATAAAACCGACTGGTGAGTATCCGATGCCCACGCGAGTACGCACACAGGCCATTTTATCGAAAAGAAAAAAAAAATTATTGCAAATTCCTGATTAAACTGTTTTTCAAGAAAAATCTCAATTTTTAGGAACAAAGAAAACATATCTGAAATTATAGCAATCTTTATTTGTAAAGTTACGTGGTTACAAAATATTACTACCCTCGCAAGCCACCTCACAGTTCCGACTTTTGTGGAAAAAAAAAAAAAAAAAAGGCAAACTTTTCTCCTAAATGAAGACTCCAATGATTTTGTGTCGATTTGCGTGCAGGCTGGACGGTAAGCATGTGGTGTTTGGGAAGATGCTGGAAGGAACCGACGTACTGAAGGAGATGGAAAAGCAAGGCACCAAAAACGGAAGCCCCAAAGCCAAGGTGGTTATCGTTAACTGCGGCCAACTCAAGTAGCTCCAGAATGCCCCCTGCCCGCCTGCTCGCCGTTGCATTTCCACAAAATCACGTCAGCCCTTTTGCGTCACGTCTTCTTCGCCACCAGACTTGGGAATGCTTTTCTCCTCAGTCTCGCCAAGCAAAAAAAAAAATGCTCGCCAAAAGGTTAGCAAATGGGATGTTGTTTTGGCGAGTTGTTTTTTTTTTTTTTTTTCAGTTAAACAATTCTTTCCAGAAAAAAATTGCCTTCAAAAAAAATTCTTTCTCCGTTAACAAATTTCGACTCCACTGGAAATTTTTTTATTTCCTTCTAAAGAGATGACTTGCCAAATAAAAGTTTCAGGCGGCCCAAAATTGCACCTTAGGAAGATTTTTTTTTTAAATATGCACACACAAAACAACAACTTTAAACTCACTACCACTTGACAGCTATATACTGTATGTCAAGACAAAATTTTGAGAGGTCATGATTTTATCCCCCAAAAGTCAGAATTATCAAAAAAAAAAAAAGTGTCAAGACATTTATCATATAAAAATACAATTGTATTGAAAATATTTATTTGTAAAACGAACACGGCCTACTAGCCATCATGGAAAAGAGAGTCAACAAAATGTTATTTTGTGACGAACGGGAACTGTTTATAGAGAGCAGGCAGTTTGGAATTTAAAAAAAAAAAAGTTCACCATAAAAGCATAGAAAGGAAAGTCTAAAAGAAAATCAAATAGTAAGGCATCAAAATGATTTCCAAAATAATTATCAAAACAAACAAAAAAAAGGAAATCAGATTTAAAGTGACAGCTTATCACGGTACAGAACCAAACACAACACGTTTGACGTCCACAGATCAAGACGAGCACATTTGCTTTTCAGGCTAAAGTTGAAACATGACAAAACTGTTGACACAGTGGAGCACCAAATTTTCATTTTACAAATATGAACATTTACTCGTGTGTACAAAAAGAACATATGTTGGTCCCCAAGTGGCCAGCTAATACAAACGTCAATCTCGGCAGTTTTCCCAATAAAGCAGGAAAGCTAATGAGCTAACTAGTTAACTCGCTAACGTACAATCTGTCCTCAGGCAATTAGCGATAGCATTGAATTTCAGGTCGATCATCATTTATGGGCATATTCCTTGAAATGTGAGTGTGTAAACTCCCCCCAAATTGTTAAATTTGTTTCGAACATTTGCCCTCACGCCTCTATTCAAACATTGGCTTTTAGAATGCGAGCCTCTCCTTTGGTTTCTCGTAAGTTTCTGAACACTGACCCCTGCTGGTCCACGTCTGACATTACTCCCCCAAATATTTTTTTCACCCTTTTGTGTTATTGTTCTGATTTTAAATATATATATATATATATATATATATATAAATATTTTTACAGTGCTTCATGTAGTAATAAAATGTTTAAGTACTCTTTAGTTTCGTTTTCAATAGAGATGAACTGAATTGAACAATACTGGAAAAAAAATAATTGCAATCAAATGATATTCAAAAGTGGATCGCAAATATATTTTTGCCTTATCGCCTTGCTCTACTCTCTCCTCTTAAAAACGCTTGAATGGTTCTTGCTAAGTTTACAGCTAGCATTCCACGTTAAATTTGCTCATATCTGTGCCATGTTCGCCTTAGAGAATGACAACGGTGTAAGTTTTAGCAAGAAACAAGGTTAGCTTGCGCTGCGCTATATTCGAGTAAACGTCGGCGCTGAACTTGACCACGTGAGTCTTCTCGTGGTCAACAACAATCAAATGAGGATTTCACTCTATGAACATTGATTATACTGTAAAGATCCAGCTATTTGCTTACATGATGGCTAATTCATTCATCTGGTCTATTTTGTCAGACCGTTAACCGGCGGACCAATTAGCTTAGGTCGCGAACAGACCTGCGGGCCTCTTCAAAGCACTTTGTTGCTCTGCTAACATTTAGCGTTTCTTGTTTTTGTGTTGTTTGTTGACACATTTGTGGAGTGTTTTTCTTATAAAATAGAACCAAAACTGTAACACATTAGTATTCAACACGATCAAGACAAATTTTACAAATCCAGCTCTTTGTTTGTTCGCATTTCCGCTAAGCTAATTAGCGTTTGTATTTTTGTGGTGAAATAGGACGTCACAATAGAAAACCGTTTTATCACCATGATCCTGGAGGTAATTGTGAGATAAATTTTCTGTCAAACTGATGAAAAAAAAATTAGCTCAGGCTTCTTTTTTTTTTTCCCTTAACATTAGCCTTTAGTGCTAATCTGACTGAGCACTTGGTCACTCAACTGTCATCATTTGGGCAGTTTTTAGCTGTTTCATTTTCAGTCGTGTGTATGCATGCTGTGACGTTAGCCATTAGCATTATCTTAGCATTAGCCGGTCTGCGCGGCGGCCGCGCGACGGCTCTCACGCAGGATGCCGTCCAGGCCACTGAGCTGGCGTAGGAATCCTCGGTTGGGTGTGACCCCGCGGTGGTCCTTGACGGTCTTGATGGCCTCCACCAGGGTTAAGTTCTGCCGGATCATCAGGTAGGCCAGGACCAACGTGGCCGACCGGCTCAGGCCCACTGCACAGTGGACCAAAACCTTACCTGTGCGCCACCAGAACCAAAACACAACTGTCAGTCACGACGCACACACAATCATACACTTCCACACAGTAGCAATACAAACATGGCACACATACATGACGTGTAAACACACACAGACAAACACACACACGTTTTAAAGATGGGCAGCGAGATGGCTTGCCGAACGCACCGTCGGAGGTCATTCCAAAGAAAGGAACCAGCAACGGAAAAAGGCTCAATCCCCTGTGAGCCTCCGCTTAGTTCTCGGTACCTCTAATAAAGTCTGGTCAGACCTGAGGCACCGAAGCAGACGCATTGTGGCGGAGGGGCTCAGAGAGGTAAGTTGGGGCGAGGCCATTTAAAGATTTGAAAACAAATAATAGGGGAACACAAATACACACACGCACAAACACAAGCACAGTTCACACAAACTACATACCTCCTCCAGTGAGCGCTTTGTGTATGAATTCTGCAGCAGGATAGAAGTTTTTGCTCATGTCGAAGGCGGGCGAGTCGTGCGCCTCGATGCCGAGGTACGTCACGTTCATGCCAGCGTAGCAGTCGGCGGCGCCACGCCATCGGCTCTGCGCGCAGTTCACAATGTGAGTGATACCCACGCGAGCCAGCTCCCGACGGTCCGATGCCATGTTTCTACAAAAGGTAAAATGTATAAATTTTTCAGGGACAGCGGTTACTACAGTGGACAGCTTATCATGTTTTCAGTTTTGAGGTTATCATTGTTGGTGGATGAAAGTGTTAAATTGTTAAGTATTTAAGTCGATGCTTTGCAATTTCCATCCATCCATCCACTTTCAAATCCGCAAATACTCACGAGGGCAGTTGGCAGGCATACTTTCTGAACTGAAAAAAACGACCATGTATTATAGTAAGGCGTTTTTAGGCGAAAAAAACGACCATGTATAGTAAGGCGTTTTTGGCGAAAAAAACGACCATGTACATTAAGGCATTTTTAGGCGAAAAAAACGACCATGTATAGTAAGGCGTTTTTAGCCGAAAAAAACGACCATGTATCGTAAGGCGTTGTTAGGTGAAAAAAAACGACCATGTAGAGTAAGGCGTTTTTGGCGAAAAAAACGACCATGTACATTAAGGCATTTTTAGGCGAAAAAAACGACCATGTATAGTAAGGCGTTTTTAGCCGAAAAAAACGACCATGTATCGTAAGGCGTTGTTAGGTGAAAAAAAACGACCATGTAGAGTAAGGCGTTTTTGGCGAAAAAAACGACCATGTACATTAAGGCATTTTTAGGCGAAAAAAACGACCATGTATAGTAAGGCGTTTTTAGCCGAAAAAAACGACCATGTATCGTAAGGCGTTGTTAGGTGAAAAAAAACGACCATGTAGAGTAAGGCGTTTTTGGCGAAAAAAACGACCATGTACATTAAGGCATTTTTAGGCGAAAAAAACGACCATGTATAGTAAGGCGTTTTTAGCCGAAAAAAACGACCATGTATCGTAAGGCGTTGTTAGGTGAAAAAAAACGACCATGTAGAGTAAGGCGTTTTTGGCGAAAAAAACGACCATGTACATTAAGGCATTTTTAGGCGAAAAAAACGACCATGTATAGTAAGGCGTTTTTAGCCGAAAAAAACGACCATGTATCGTAAGGCGTTGTTAGGTGAAAAAAAACGACCATGTAGAGTAAGGCGTTTTTGGCGAAAAAAACGACCATGTACATTAAGGCATTTTTAGGCGAAAAAAACGACCATGTATAGTAAGGCGTTTTTAGCCGAAAAAAACGACCATGTATCGTAAGGCGTTGTTAGGTGAAAAAAAACGACCATGTAGAGTAAGGCGTTTTTGGCGAAAAAAACGACCATGTACATTAAGGCATTTTTAGGCGAAAAAAACGACCATGTATAGTAAGGCGTTTTTAGCCGAAAAAAACGACCATGTATCGTAAGGCGTTGTTAGGTGAAAAAAAACGACCATGTAGAGTAAGGCGTTTTTGGCGAAAAAAACGACCATGTACATTAAGGCATTTTTAGGCGAAAAAAACGACCATGTATAGTAAGGCGTTTTTAGCCGAAAAAAACGACCATGTATCGTAAGGCGTTGTTAGGTGAAAAAAAACGACCATGTAGAGTAAGGCGTTTTTGGCGAAAAAAACGACCATGTACATTAAGGCATTTTTAGGCGAAAAAAACGACCATGTATAGTAAGGCGTTTTTAGCCGAAAAAAACGACCATGTATCGTAAGGCGTTGTTAGGTGAAAAAAAACGACCATGTAGAGTAAGGCGTTTTTGGCGAAAAAAACGACCATGTACATTAAGGCATTTTTAGGCGAAAAAAACGACCATGTATAGTAAGGCGTTTTTTGGTGAAAAAAACGACCATGTATCGTAAGGCGTTGTTAGGTGAAATAAAACGACCATGTAGAGTAAGGCGTTTTTGGCGAAAAAAACGACCATGTACAGTAAGGCATTTTTAGGCGAGAAAAACGACCATGTATACTAAGGCGTTTTTGACGAAAAAAACGACCATGCATATAGTAAGGCGTTTTTAGGCCTTACTGTACATGGT